GAGTGCAGGATCAAAAATGCCCAGCGGTAAGTAATCAGCTCTTTCCTCCTTCGAAGCTGCCCACCGCCCTGCCAGCAGCCAGAGAAACGTGCCGGAGAGAGGGGGAACGTCGCAAACACTCCTCTGTGGCTTTCCATAATGTCCCTCCATGGACCGGGCCCAGAGTCACATCTCTGCTCCCCGCAAGCCGGGGGACAACTGTTCCCAAAGCCATGCCAGGGCTCAGCTGTTCCCACACCCTGCCCCAACACCACATCAAGATATTCCCTGCGTTTGTTCGCCCGTAATGCGGGATAACGATGCCTTCTGGCAGGGTATTCCCAGGCATCGTTCATTCATGGTTATAAAGCACCTCTGGGCTCTTCCTCCAAGTGCAAAAGACTCAATGCCAAACAAAACCAACCTTGCTCCTGTCCAGCTACGTGAGGGATGTCCCAACCTTTGCCATTCCTGAGGGTACTCTCCCTATCACAATGGCCTTAATAAACACCTTCTCTTACTGATTTTGCAAGTGGTTTTACCTCTTTTAACAGCACCATTGCATTTTTGCCCTTCAGAGGACCTCGCATGGTTGGGAATCTGTCCGGTCCTTGGGATTTTTGCATTACTTCATTCCTTGTCTTTGTTTGTGGGGTAAAGCAAGAAAGAAAACTGACAGGGGTGAGGAATGCTGCTCTGCCGACTTCACGAGACACAACAGATACCTCACTCACCTTGGGCATCAAATGTCCGCCATGGTTTGATCAGATGTCAGCTTGCATTTATACTCTGGCCCTTGTTGGGGGTTGAATTGCATTTCACATCTGACTCACTTCTGGGGTCAAATGTCCCTCCTATTTGATAGGACAAGAGGAATTATCTTCCCCAAGCAGGTTGTGCTGCCATGAGTCTGGATCTGTCAGTGCTCTCATTATGTTGGAGGCTCCTGTATTTCGGCATTTCCTCCTCAGCCGAGGTGAACGCTTCCCAGGCTGACGGGAAACGCAGCCGACATCACACAGGCAATCACATCCAGTAAGACGAAGGGACGGAGCAGATCAGCTGGCTTTCAGATCCTCCTGATGGTGTTTTGTTTGGGGTTTTTTTGGGGGGGTGGTTTTAGGGGTTTTTTTGTCTTTCCCTCCCAAGTTAGCAGCTCTGCAGGGGAGGGAGTGATGAAGGAGAGCAAAGTGGACCCTGGTCCTGGCTTTACCATGCTCTTGCCAAGAGATACTGCAGAAGCTCCTTAGGATCAAAAACCGCACGAGGGGCTGAGATCAGGCTGGTGTCAGGGTGCCGCAGGATCGCGACGCTGTCCAAGGACTGCTCAGCACAGGAGCTGCCCGAACCGCGCCGTCTCTATAGCCCCAGATGCACAACCAGAATAATCTTCTCTGTGTGATGGGAAAGGATGACTCGAGAGCTTAAACCGTTGCTGCATCTCTGGGCAAAAGTGTAAACCATCGCACTGGCAGGCAGGAGCTATTTAACCCCCCTTGGGTTTAAACCAGGGCGGGAGGAGCGGTGATAAACTGAATTCTGCTTTCTGCCTAACTCCTTCCAGGCATTTTGAAAGAAAAATCGCAAGGCAATACAGAATCTCCTGTAACAAAACCTATCAAACTACTTCTGTCTGTGGACCTCTAAGAATTTTCCAGCTGAAATAAGGCCACACACAGACACGAATTTCTTGCTCTCCCAGCTCTTCCAACCCACCTCGAAGCACGGAGGGGCTGGAAGCCCTCGCGCAGGTCTGGGGGATTTCATCGTGACAGTCTCACCCCAGGCCATCAGAAGCATGCTGGTACCAGGGGAGCTCACCGCGTAGCACAAACCTGGGGTAAATAAGCAACAGGCGATGTGACGCTAAGATTTCCCACCGTTAATGCTGGACGTCCCAGCCCCCGCGCCCGAGCTGGGCTCAACGTGAAGCTGTGTCAGCTGCCAAGAGCTGCAGATGCCTAGTGGTGCCCAGTGCAACCAGTTTCAGACAAAAACGGAGAAAAATCACCAGCCCACCAGGCCCATCTATCACAGCGTGATGGCTTCAGCAATTAGCGTGGATCATTTGTCTCTCCCCAAGGACCCCAAGGGCTGAGCGAGATCCCGCCTGTGCTGGGCAGGCATCTCGGGGCTGGCGATTTAGCAGCCTCTCAAGCAGGATTGTGAAACCGCGCTCCTGCTGTTTAATGTACTCACACAGGTTACAACAGGTTTGGCAAACAATAAAAAACATCTGGAACCCCCATTTAAATAGAAGAGCTGTGTTACTAGTAGTGAAGTCATGACCAGTGCTATAAACCGCTCCCTGGTAAACAAGCGCTGACATGCGGGTAAATAAAGGGAGACAGCGAACTAATACGGGCGAGGGAGGAAGGCTGCTCCCCGTCTTCCTCGGCCAAAGCTCATGCTGGGTGTGACAACCACTAACATCCTTGGCAGGGCATGAACCGTGACACTCGCCCTTCCTCCCTGCTCCCCTCCTTCCAACCCAGGCAAGGTTATGGGGGTCACTGCAGCATCCCATGGGGACGTCGACCCCGGCAGAGCCCCGGGTGCCACCCCGTGCCCTTGCACCCCTTGGTCCCACTCCCAGCTCCTTTCTGACCACTCTGAGCATAGCAGCACAAGGAGGGGAACTGGAGATGCAAGACAAGACAAACTTCCCCATCCATTTTCCATGTTGGCCCCCGCTCCCCACAGAGCTTTTGCTCCAGGAGACAAAGCAGCAGCATGGCCCCGGGCACGAGCCCAGCCCTGTAACATGGGGTACCTGCCCCCTGCCCACCCTCTGCCAAGCGAAAGCGGCTGCCTCCCTTTTCATCCTTAACTGCTATTTCAAAATAGGAAATAAAGGTCACCAAGTAAACACAGAACAACTGAAGAGTAAAGTTCTCTTTCCCAGGTTACAGGGATCTAAGCTGGTTTGGTTTATCCTTCTCCCGGGTTCAAACAGTACACGAACCCTCCACCACATGACAGCCTCTATTTTTATTCGGATGTCAGCCCTCCTCCTCCTCCTCCTCGACCGCGGCGCAGCAAGCCGTTCCCCACCCAGCAGCATCACTTCTGATTTCTCCCCTGCTGACAGACTGCG